AACTAAATATTTACACATATTTTAAACAGAGTTCCTTTAAGTTAAAAATATTAACAATAAATATATAGGATTCCCCTGAACTTTCCATCCTTCGTTACAAACAAATTATTAACTAAAATGTACTTACCTTGAAGTTGACGACTGATGAGAGCAGTAATACCTTGACTGTCGCCAGTCTTTTTCACAACGAAAAGTTTGGTGTCAGGATCATTTTCTAAGGCTCCGATACCACTCAAACCAATTACTTGTCCATTTTGTTGTTGATGACTACTAACAGCCATTGTTTCACTGACCTAAGATTGTATAATTCGTACAAAAATGCTTATTCATTTCTTAATCAAACTAAAAAAAAAATTCGTTATGATGACATAGAATGTTGTAATTTAAGAATCTACATACCTGCATCAATTTTTTAACTACATCCCTTCCCAAAATATGATCAAACACTGCCTGCAGAAATTGATCATTAATTATGCTTAACTTTAACTTGTCTCTATGCCATAATAATATCCTTGACTCCTCCATAGCTGTTATTGATACCTACACAAATACATCGTTTTTTAACACATAAAAATTATATTTTACACAATTATGGCTTTAAAAATTCAACATATATCAAGATTATTATTATTACTATTCCAATAGTAGTAACGGTTTTCTGTTCGAAAGTAAACAATACTAGTAAATTTTATATGTAACACTACAAATTATAAGTTCTATCGGAATGTTATATTAAAATATGAATATAATAACAAGATGCAACTTTAATAATTTTGACCATTATTGTTATACAGATACATGTTCAAGAAATATACAGAATTATAGAAAGTCCATACGAACCTGAAAGTACTCGTCCGTGGAAACACCAAACCATTCTGGAGAATCCAGGAACTGATGTGGGAAGACAATGTGCAATGCTCTTCCATTTTGTGATACTACTAATCTGAAAAATTCATACAATGCTTTGAATAACTTGACAATAATATCTATTGTACAGAATGATTCTAAAATACTTAGTCGAGTTTTACTAAATAGTGTATTACACCATACCAATAGAAAATATGGTTAAAAATAAGATAAACAATAAACATGAACATATATTTATAAATGCTTGCAGAGATGTAGTTCTTTATAGCTGTACATCAAAGGAATTTATAGTAACAAAATAATAATAACTTCTTATTTTTTTATCGACTTGCAGTTAAATATCTTCTTGACAATCCTAACTCGAGAAAGTACTTTTTATAAATAAGAGTTCATCCCTATTTTCACATTAAAAACTTACTTTCCAGAAAGTACCAAAGATAATGAATCAACTTTGGTCACTTTCTCTTGTGCATAAACTTCTTGATACTTCAACTGTCGTATAACCTTCATACAATTTAATACTTTTTTGAACTGATGACGCGATACTCTTAATGGCTGGAACACTGCTATATATACCTGTAGGAAAATGAATGAAAATGAGATATAAAAGTATAATATACAAAAAAGGGAAACATTAAAAACAAATATTTTGCACATTGCTTTGTAATTTTAGCCAAAATTTATATTTTAAATTTATATTAAAATAATTCAAGTTAACGTAAAATCACTTTTTTTCTATACTCTTGATTAGTTGAATATAAAAATTAAATTTAAATATTTTACCAATTACAAAAATGATAATAGTTTTAAACTTTTGCTAATAGTAAAAGCATCATACGAATTTTTTAACGAATGTAATAAAGAAATTGTTGAAATTACACATGTAAAGATGCAAATGAAAGGACACTATATAAAAAGTATCAGCGTAATGCAGATGCAGTAGCCAAACACAAGCAATTTACAGTAGTTGCTAAATTTCTAATATAACTATCCATACGATCTAAGACAGTACTATTATACTACTCAAAATACACTATACCATACTACAAATAAAATTTTAAAAAGTAGAAATATAATACAACTTCTTTTAAATAAATGAACCTCTCGATACGTAGAATTACGTATTTATATTTTAAAATGTCATTCATTATATTAATTAGCATATTGTCTGTTTAATATATTTCTGATCTTTTATGATATTTCTATAACGTTTATTTGTAAATATAATACAAAAACTAGTTTTTATTATATACTGTGCAAATAAATATGATAATACATGACCGAAGATGTCTTATAATCATGTTACGAATAATATTAAATTAAATATTGAACACCACAGATTTGGGTCATTTTAGAATTAGTCAAAATATATAAAGTGTATATCAAAATTAATTTAAATCATAGTAATCCTTGTTTATAAATTATTATAAAGGTACCTTTATTTTCAGATCAATATTGCTTAACCACATATGAATACATATATAAACAATAATCCATAGTTCATTGATCATATGTATATATATGTACAAACAATATTCTGTGACATCGAGTCAGAGAATAATTTATTTTTTCATTCTTCTCTTAGCTTACCTCTTCAACTTCCCTTGAAAACTTGTTAGGCCTGAGCTTGTAAAGAAGCGTGCATACATGGACGAAGTTGATGGCAACAAACAGAGCATTCCAGAGAGCAGCGTCCAGCCAGCAAGCTATTGTCCAGCCCCACAAAGCAAGAAAGGCACAGCCCACGAGTAGAGTGCACCTTAAATAGAGTACACCGTGTATGCCACTTGGTGCAAGGTGTGACAATAGAAAGAAGGCATTTGCTAGTTGAAAGTAGATGTGATTCACAGAAATTCCTTGATAGGGTTGGCAACCAGTAGCTGCAAAATATCTTTATATATATATTGGGTAGCACTAATTATAATAAAAACATTGATTAACAGTGCAATAATAATCAAAATTTTTAATAATAAATCAATCATTAAAAAGAAAATATCTATACAAAAAAGTATCATTAATAACATATGTTTAAGACATATTAATTAAAAAGTACTTTGTAATTATTGTACAACGAAACATACCCGTTCTTGTATCAGTGGTCACATTCCTACATTCGTCGTCTTCATGATGCGTTGAAATCGGTAGCGTCACTTCCGATGTAACAGTGTTACGAGGAACATTAGATGCAGCTGCATTCGTTAAGCTGGCATCAATACCAAAAGATGTCCAATAAAAGAATACAAAGAATAAAATAGAAGCACGCCAGCCTACTCGGCTTCCTATAGGATCAAAACAGATCCACATCCCCGCATCACCACCAAGCTAAATCAATTTCGTCTTATTCTGTAATATTAGAGTAGATGGTTTTCAATAACTGCGAATACAAAATTACATGTACAACATTGACAATTTTTTGATTAATAGCTGTTTTGTTTCATACTTATTCATAGAAGATATTAGATTGAATGCTATATAATGCTTGCAAATATCCTATCATTCTTCACATTTCTACTCTCAGCTAAAATTCGAGCTCGAAGACAAACACCATCTTGTAAACTTCAAATTAAAGAAGGGTATTTGCATTACCAACAGCTGCGGGAAGACTATAGAAACATCTGTAATATAAATACGCATATATGAACCATTGTCCTTCAATATATTTTCTTCTATAAATGATATTTATTGAAAAAGTTTAAACATATCTCCAATGATAGTTAGATAATACTTTTAATTAAAAGGAAGATTATCTGATATTTTCTATAGAAATTGATAGGTTGCTGATAAAAAGTGTCAAAGTTCAATCAAACAAAAGAATATAAATTTCATTTTTGATGTAGAAAAGACAAATTTAAAGAAATCGTAAAATTTATTAATATAGAACTAATTAATGTTATACGATTAATCGGCAGAAAATAAATCGTAAGAAACTTGGAAATAAATTCGTCTTATACTAATTTTCGTGTATTAGCAATCGAGGCTATTAACGCACGTTATAAAGTATCGTATCGAAATCAATAAACAACTTACTCATGGAAAATTTGAAAAGATGAGAGCGTACGCAAGGCATACAGATGAAAAAATAAACGGTGACGTCGAGTAATTTGATAGGCGAAAATAAACCGAACTCGTACACGAAACAAACTTGCTTATCTAATGAACGTCAAACTAGCAGAAAGACGTTACTCTAGCAAGGACAAGTATAGGCAACGGTAGAGAAACTGGGAAGCAGAAAGGGGATAAAATAGGCCACGCGGCCCCTAATTTTAGGTTCGTTCGGAAATTTACTAGCAAAAACTAACATCGTATCCATCAAATTACAGACCACGTCATTATTATACTATTTCACGAAAATTATCTGTAGAATTAAATGCTTCGAGTGACAAAATAATAACGGAGCCCCATGTGTTCGATTCGAGATTCGCATACAATTTCTGCAAATACAAACAACCTGTGTCTTCGTTGACGAGTAACTGTTCGATATTTGTCAATGACATTGATTTTAATAAATTGCTCGTATTCTACTGCTTCTTTTCTAAGCGATATATATTATATATATATATATTAATTATAATTAATGATTTACTAGTTTACAAAGCGTTAAATTATTTTTAGTATTTTAATTTCGATTTAATTTTATGTATCGTGTACGACTCAAGAAAATGATATCTAGAATATTTTAACCTATAAATCGATCAGATAAAGAAATGTCGGTTTATATACAATGCTTTACGAGAGTTGTATATGAGTATCGTTGTATTTTCAAGTACGTTTGAGTTGATTCAGCTGACATCGAGTACGTTTACATTGTTTCGATTTACCCCATAGTCAGACATAGTTATATCGAGTTGTACATTGATAAATAATATGTATATGTATGAATTGGTGTAGATACATGAAAACCCATCAAAACCTATACAGGGTGTCCCAAAAATGTTGGAGGTCCTTGAAGAGGGTGGTTCGGGGGGTATTTGAAACAACTTTTTCCTTAGCGAAAATGTTGTCCGTGGCTTTGTTTAGGAGATATTATCAGAAAACACCGACCAATCAGAGTGCATACCCTACGCTACCCCGACCAATCAGAGCGCGCGTAGCCTACGCTCCACCGGCATACTCGCGCTCTGATTGGTCGGAGTTTTCCGTTAATATCTTCTCAACGAAGCCGCGGACAACATTTTCCCAAAGGAAAAAGTTGTTTCAAATCAACCCCCGAACCACCCTTTTCAAGGATCTCCAACATTTTTGGGACACCCTGTATATCCCCAATACAACTTTAAAAAAATTTAAAATACTATTAACTAATATTTATGTAGCTTTTGTGTAACTTCTTTTTTTCTTTAATTTGTGTTGTCGCCTATAAATCTGAAGATAAACATGGCAACAGAAAAGGATTTAATCAATGGTATCTATTAATTGAATCGTATATTACGTTTATAGTTTTAAGTAAGAAATTATAGCATAGAATGATGTTTTATTAATTTTATCGTATAAATTTCTGTTACGTATTTGTGCTTGTATACTATTTCTAAATTTCTTCAAATATTAACAATTTTATTCGATATTATATCTACATGATTGCATTGTTATAACAAATTATTAACATTTACATTTGTCATAAATAATTTAAAAATCAACGAATTCTACTCGATACATTAATGAATATTGTAATTAATGTAAGTTCTATTATAATTTCACAATTAGTTATGTGAAAACAAAATTAAATTTAATTAGTAATTAACAAAAAAATATTACGTGTAATTTTTGTACCGATAGTAACAGAAGTCACATCATACGAAGTAAATATTAATTTTCATTATTTGACATAAACGTTGGTCTCACATATACGTTTCTGCAGTTACTATCAATTAAAATACAACTTTTAAAGATGGAAAATCATACAAAAGGAAAAGAATTACAAACTATGTATTAATAACAGTAAATGTTACGTATGACCATTTGTTGTTGCGTTGTATAATCTGATGAAACATTTTTAAATTAATAAATTTAACACTACAGCTGTAAGAGAATCGCTTAAAGTCAATGGAGAATTGGGGAGAATAAAAGCTGCGATGTGTACGCAAGTCATAGAACTATTAGATGGTTCGAACAAAGGAAATAAAGTGAAACTTCCTAAGCCGTATCAAGATGTTATACTTTTAAACGAACTCATCAGAGAATATATAGATTGGATGGGTTACAAATATAGCTCTACTGTATTTACGTCAGGTATTCAAAATATATACTTAATGTATAATACAAAATACATTTAACAGCCAAAGAAAAATAAATTTGGAAAAATGTTTGCATTTTAGAATGTAACTTATCGAAACAGGCTCCTAGCAAATTTTTACTTGCGCAAAGTCTAAGACTACAGGAAAGCGATGATAGCAAAGATTTGCCTTTGCTCTGTAGTATTTTGGATACAGTGAAGAATTTGAAAAATACATAAATCTTATCCAGGTGAAATATCAAAATTAAAAAGTTTTTAGTTGTAAACACTTTATACCAACAATAAACAGATAATTGTTCCTATATTCAAAAAGTTCATGTTATGATAAAAAAAAAACATGAATTTTTCATTTTTTGCACATATACAATGTTTAATACGATAAGAATAAAGATAACTTAAAAGAATTTCGTCTTTTTATTTTATGACATCTTTTACATATTGACATTACATTACGAAAGTACAATATAATGCTGAGATATTAGAGATCTTAAATATAACTGCTGTTGCTTTCTAGAAGTATTGTACCAGATTTCTTAATGATATCATTATCTACTGAATGCTATAATATACATCACTTACTGTAATAAATTTACTTACAGCATTTAATTGTTGAAATTGAAATGTAGACAATTATATGTAAAGGCCTTAATAACATTTCAAAATTATATATAACAAATCAATGTCGTAGCTTTCTTTTCAAATTCATTTTCTCATTAAAAGTTCGTATCCCAGAAGTATTGACTATTAATAACAAGTAATAAATCGACAATGTCTATTTCAAATGAACTTTGAACACTTACAATATTATAAATACAGAATAAGGTCTACTTTGTTTCGTATTGTTTCGGTGCATATAATTTTAAATAATTCTGGCAGGGAATCTTACATTAAAAAGCATCGATAAAGAAAAGGTTTCTTTCAGAATTCAACTTTTAAATAATATGGACATTTAGCGATATCATTTGTGCTTCGACTTCTTTTTCTTCTTTGCTTGTTTATTTCTACTCTTTGATTTTTTTGATTTCTTTTTGTGTTTCTCCTCGTCGCTACTTGTATCAGACGAATCCGAATAAGAATCCGAATCCGAGCTAGTGTCTCTTTTAGTAGATTTCTTTTTCTTATGCTTCTTGTGTTTCTTCTTCTTTTTCTTGTGCGACTCGTCCGAACTATCGGAATCGGTAGTTGAAGTATCCGAACTGGTAGACGAATCTTCGCTGCTCGTAGACTTCGATCGTTTCTTAAGAGACTTTATTTCTACTTCTTTCTCGATATCTGGCTCGTCAAGTTTCAGTTTCTTCGCGGGTATAGTCATTATTTTGCCATCATCCCCGTCTGACTCCGAATCCGAAGCGCTATAATCGGGCTCGAAACTGGCTTCGTCGAGCATGCTGCGCTTACGATCAGAAACAAGCCTCGGATTCTTTCTTTGTTTCTTTACAGACTCTGTAACTGGAGGTTCAGGATTTTCGTAACTTATTTTAGTTTCATTGATCTCGGGTTTATCTTTCAAAGCAAGGCTTTCTTTATGCTTTTGCTTCTTCTCTAAATTTTTCTCCTTATCCTTTTTATGTTTCTTGTCTTTTCGTTTCTTATGCTCTTTAGATTTACTTCTACTTCGATGTTCCTTTTTCCTTTTCTTTTCTTCTTTTACCTTCTTCTCCTTTCTTCTATCGTCCTCGTCGTCCTTGCTTTTTAAAAGACTAACCTTTGGAATTTCGCTCCGTTTAAACGTGCACGTCGGCGTTCTTCCTCTTCTTTCCCTGTCCCTTTCCTTTTCTCTATCTTTCTCTATTCTATCGCCTTTAGAATCGTTTCGAGCTGGCCTAAAGTCGCCTCTAGAATCGAGTCTCAGATCTCGTTCGGACCTCATGTCGTGTCGTTCGCTTCTGAAATCATTTCTGTCTTTCGAACGATCACCTCGTTCTTTATTATCTCGTTTCCTATCGTCGAGGAATACCTTGCGTTCATTTCCCGATAACGACAACGACGAATCGACCCGTCTATCTAAAAGCGGAGAAATTCTCTTATCTCTACCGCTTCGAGGAGATCGACTTCTAGATTGAGTTTCGCTTTTCGTTTCCCGTCTATCCAAGAAACTTTTAATCGGACTGATTTTCCGTTCTTTGTTCTCTTCCACTTTCTCACCCAGCCTCTCTTTAGCAGAGAGCCTCGTAGGCGAGTAAGTTTCAGGGACCGGTTTGAATTTTGTTCTGTCCAGCTTAGCTTTCTTCACTGGCTCGGTAATCTCGACATTTCTTTCGTTCCGTCCGACGTTTATGGTAACGTTCACGCTCTTTCTCGGCTCTCTGTTCGGCTCAGCTTCAAGTACTTTAGGCTCTGGATTTTGATACAATACTTTCCTACTTTCGCTAATTTTCTTAATCTCGATAGGTCTAATCGCGTTAATTGCTTTCTGGAAAATTGCATTCTCGGCACGTTTCAATACTTCCGATGTGACTACTTTCGTGGACTTTGGTTCGTCCATTTGGATCTTTTCTATAGGTGATTCGCAGACCTCGTCCGATTTTTCTATGGTATCGTCTCTTTCCCATTTCGACAATTCCGGCATGGGAGCTAGAAATTCATCTTTTTTCGGCGATTTTTCTGTTAATAAAGTACTCTTATCTTCCGTTTCGTTTTCCGAAAGTAGAGAATATTTCTCCGTAATCACAGTATTTATCTCTGCATCGTCCAGCCCGCTGTAAAGACTATCGATAGGTTTGATTTCTGATTTTAACTCGGGTATCGGTTTGAAATTAGGATTCGGAGGGTTTGTTCCAAATTCCGTATGATCGATTCTTTCTGGACTAGCCTCGTTAAATTCTGGAGGCTCCGGATTCATAGCTAAAGATTTGTCTTCGAATTCTTCTTTAATTGACTCTTCCATAATAGAATCCGTGGGAATACAATCTATCCTGTTATCGATATTTCCGTCCTCGCTGCTTGGTTTCATGATGTCAGTTTTCGTAGGTGACATAGTTTCTTGTTTATTCTCTGCCATCAATTCCTCGTGTTCAACGGATTTAATAGGTTCATCTTTCGCGATCTCTTTCTGTCCCGACTTCTTTTCTTTCTTTTTCTTCTTCTTCTTTTCCTTTTCGTCGTCCTTTTTCTTTTTCTTATCTTTGAGCTTCTTCTCTTTCTTCTTCTCTTCGTTCTTTTCTTCGTGATCCTTTTCCTTTTTCTTTATACGCTCGGGCGATATATCTTTCGTATCTGTCCTGCATTTCTGCGAATAAGGTGTCGGACTCTTCCTGTTCTTTTTCCTTTCTACGGAACGTCTTTCGTACCGTTCGTGCCGATCCCTATCCTTTTCAGCTTCGTAATCTCGTTCACGCCTGTCTTTTTCGCGCGCACGATTTTTATCATCTAGCCTGTGACGATCCCTGTCATCCCTGTAACTGAAATAACATAGCAATTATTTTTATATGCTTAAGTAACAAAAATTAGGTCTAACTTGGTAACGTGAAACTGAGGTAGTTGGTGCGAGATGGTCACGTTTAGAAATATAATTAGAAACTTACTGCTATCATAAACGTGCATAATTAATGAATACGTATATCTACGCATAGGAGTAATACTCGATAAATAATTGCGCAACTTTCTGTTTCAGATTGTAATGATTTATATCTCAGTAACGTCGCGGTCAATAATTCTTATTTTCTTTTTTTTTAATGGTTTATAATATCGGTATTTGTAACGTATCGAATTTCCAGCAAATTCCTAAATTATATTTTGATTTAAATTGAAAAAATTCACATGAAAATTTGTGTTTCATAGGAGTCTGCGTTAAAATTAGAAAATCTCGATATCGTTTTTCATTAAATTGGCGTGGTCAATTTAAATCGAAGTAGGATCGTATAACTTATATTTAATCAGAGAACATCGAGTTTTTATCAAAATCCTCCATTAAATACACCCACGGAACAACTACTTTAAAATTGTATGATGATGTACAGCATATAAAGCATTGTTCAGGGAAGATACACACCGATCTTTGTCATAATCTTTTTTCTCAAGATGCCTATCGTCATCACGACGATCACGAGTATTATGTCTGTCGTCTCGCTCTTTTTCTTTTTCCCTTCTATCGCGTTCATCCTTTTCGCGTGGTCTATCATCGTGATCTCTAGATAATGCTTGTCTTTCGCGATCTTCGCGATCTCTATTTAAAACTCTTCGATCTCGTTCATCCCTTTCGCGTAAACGGTCGTCGCGTTCGCGTCCTCTGCAAAAGAAAACAGTATTAGAAAACCGTATTTTAAAATAATTAATAGCGGTTCATTTTATAATAATAGTAAGTTCAAATATAGTATAATTTTAAGTTCAACCGGAAAACTTCATAGATAACTAATTTCTAGATAATTAATTTAGCATTTAATTATTCATTAAACATTATTCTTCTAGAAGACAAATGCGAAGATTATTTTAATTTACCTATCTTCCCTTAAAGATATTCTATCTCGTTCTTCGACATCATGATCCTTCAGAGAATGTTCACGATCTTCCTGATCTCTCAATAAACGTCGATCACGATCGTCACGTATAGATCTATCAGAATGTTCAACGCCCGGTGGTGAGAGATCGTAGTAACCTTCTGTTCCAGGAGGAGCAACATCGTCGAATCTCTTTTTGTGAGGCGCATCACGTATAGGACTGCCAAAACGTTGCGTAGATGGTCCAGAATACCTGTTGACAAAAAATTCATAAAAAAAAAACGTTTATATTTTTGCTAAGTCACTGCAAAAAGCATTATTTAAGTCTGACACTATAGAAATTAATGTCATGTAAATTTGTTAATTTACGGAGTATTAAAATTTAAAATAAAACTAAAAGCTGTTATACATTCAATTTGCTTCCTATAAATCTACATTAAATTTATTATTATTCGTAGATTTATATACTTTTTTTTAAATAAAAATACTTGTAAAAATACATTGTTCATGTTTAATTACAAGTGAACGTGTTCGATACTGGATCAAACTATTACAATTATCTTTGAATTAAACATCGTTGTGAAACAAAACGTAATTTAACTATACTCTTACTAAGGAACAGCCATGGAAAATTGAGACCTCTGTGTGAAAATTACACTAAAGCTGAAAAGATGAATAAATAAAATTACCTATTACCAACAGATTAAAGTTACTGTCTATTATATCATATAAAAACGAAAAATAAATAAATCAACATTTATAACTTCAATTACATTCTGAATACAATGAAAATATTTATAATTGCACTGATTGTATTCTTCCAAACATTAATATTACGTAAATTTACTCACCAAAAATGCTACCAAACCATATAAATACTAGCAAATTAGTAAATATAGTATACAATATATTTCTAAATTTTAATCTGTATCGT